TCTATTCACGAACAGCTTGTAACACTCCAAAGAGAAAGGAAAACTTGAAATCACATCATATGACCCCTTTAATAAGGAAATGAGATAAATCAGACCCACCAGTGTTTGACCCTTTTACTGGATGACTAAGAAATGTCTTTTTTCCCCTAAACTTTTTGGCAGGGTGGAGGAAGGCAGATTCAAATTTTTAGGGTTTTATGACAGACAACTGAGTCACTTCTATATTTAGACACCATAAGGTTGAAGACATAACAAAAATTACGCAAATGTTGATTGTTAAAGGCAAATATAGAGGCTAATGAGGCAGAAAAATGGCAAGGACATTTTTGAACATGGAAAGGAAAACCTACTTTAGTTCTATTTTTCATTATAGGTTCTGGATCTGTACATATGTATGTTACAATATTTAAAATTGCAATTAATATACTAGATTTGCAATTATGATAATTACTGAATTATTATAAATAGTTAAAAAAAATTTTACTAACTAAAAAGAGTATAGAAATTCTACCTGTTGAGCTTTTCTCAAAAAGCTGTTGAACATCTCACTGGATCCCAGAATGGGGTCCTGACGCACTGCAGGGAGAAAATAAAAAGCTCTTCATTAAAGGTATCAAAACTTGCAACTTGACAACCTACTCCAAAGTAGCTACTTTTTTTGATAAACATATTCAGCTAAAATGCAAGATAATATAATCATGTATTTAAACAAACTGAAGCCACTTATAGGGGCAATTGTTTTTACAAGTTTACTCTTATATCACAATAGCATGCTATTTGTGGAAGGAAACACATAAAATTATACAATATATAATGAATAAAAATAAACATTAAATTAAACATTTACACTACCATTCAAAAGTTTGGAGATTTTTTAAGAAATTACTGTAAAACGCTATTACAGTTTAAGTAGCACAACTTTACCATCAGATAAATAAATTACATTTTGCAATATATTAAAACAGAAAACAGTTAGTAAATAGAAAAAAGATCATCAAAACAAATCTACAAAACAATTCACTTAAACAAATAGAATACATCAATGCTACTTTAAAAGGTTCAAGGTACCAATTTCCTCTGGGAAAGTTTGTTGAATGGTAGTGAGAATGTTTTTTTGTGTCTCAACTGAACCATAATGTAAACCTCAATGTTTTAAAAATGTCAAAATCATGTAAACATAAACTAATCTGGTATACAATGCAGCCTTTTCTTTAAAAATACCACCATGCCTCCCTGACTGATAATAACCTTGGTTTAAATTTAAAAAAAATCTGGTGGCAAACAGACCAACATAAACTATAATGTTTATTTTTACTTCCATTATAGCACACAAGCAAACAACCGCAAGGCATTAGCACAAACTGACGAAATATTCGCTCTGAACAGCTTGTGTGTTTGTGTCAGTTAATTTTCCATAACCATGTTTCTCAGTGATGTAACTGAAGGGAGCCCCAGCCAAGAGCAGCTCCAGACTGTGAGCAAATAAGCTCAACAAGGCTTAGCTTGTTCGATGGAAAGAGCCAGTGCTGGAATGGATTAGAGCAAATGGCTCTTGGTGCTGCCAGCACTGCTGATTTCCTTTTGTGTGGAGAAAACCTGTTAAACCACATGCATGGCAAATCCTCAATGCTGTACAACACTGGTGGCCCTCTTTTATACAGCGTGACTGATGTTTTGCTAACATGAATGACAATGTAGAAGTGTTTCCCAACGGGGTGCCGTCGTCTGTCGAGAGCAGGGGTGCCGTGTAAAAAATAATTTTTTAAGATTTTTAAATTGCTAAAATGTTCAAAAAAGCATCTATTGTATAATATCCATTTCTGATGTCGCCAATAATTAGACATGCACCGAAATTCCGGCTGCCGAAAATTAGTTCACCGCTCAAGTTTCACTTTCACGTGGTGTGACGCTCTGCATATTATCCCGCTCTATGCGTGTACGCTCCGCTCAGTTGCTCATGGCCCACGTGAGCGCTCCACTCATATACCGTTCATGCTCATCGGAACAGCAAAGTCCACTCAAAAATTGAGCCGACAGGAAACATCGATGTAGTACAGTATTGTTTCTGTCTGCAATAGCCCTACTGTGCTGTAACAAGGTGTGGTAAATGGGTAACTCTGGTAACGCTGCCCTCTCATTCATTGACCTGCTAACCGCTATGTTATGCTCACGTGTTCTGATAATAATAGCTTTCTAGGACTAAACATTATTTGGATATAATTGGTAAAAAAAAAAAAAACAACTAAATCTCTTAATAGCCCTGTTAGACCTACCTGAAAAACTAAAAAGCAATTTATTTCATTTGCATCGTTATTATTTTTTGTGCTATTATTTGTTCTTATTTTATTACTGACTGCTTACTTGTCATTTTTTATTCAATTCAAAGTTTGAAATCAAGCTATCTTGTGCTACTGCAACAAAATTACCCCACTGTAAAATCAAAAATACACAGAGCGAGCAAAAATGTGTGAGATAGCTAGTTATAATGGTAATTAAACAATGGTTACATATAAATAAAAGCCTACATGAAAATCTGTCATATAAATTCGTCTCTTCATTAGAAATTAGCCTATTGATTGCCACCATTGATGGATAAAAAATTTAATAATATTAAAAATATCTGTATTACAGTATATTCTGCAGTTCTTCCCTGCTGTACCGAATATTTATGTTTTTCAAGGTATCATATCGAATTTAGAAATTCAAGTATTGTGACAAAATTAATTTTGTAGGGTGCCACAAATTTGTTAAAATTTCCAAAGGGTGCCGCGACTAAAAAAAAGGTTGGGAAACACTGATGTAGAACATTAAAAAGCTCCGTCCTCTTCAGGAAGAGCAGAAATTACAAGACCATCTGACCCCATATGAAGGCTGATGAACATCCAGTGTTGATGCATTTCCTGACGAAACAGGGAATTTGAGTGGGGCGTTTTTTTTTTTTTTTTGGATAGCCAATAGGCTTCATCACAGTTGCTTGCTAGTAGCAAGTCAGCTGCAAGTGGTATTAGGGGGAGGGGCATCTTAATTTTAGAGAGCTTCTGATTGGATACAAAACTAGTGCAGAATTAGTCATCAATATTTTTGCAATATTTAGATTTTCGGGGATTTTTTTAAGGAAGTAGGCACTGACACTGAGGACTGGAGTAATGATGCTGAATATTCAGCTTTGCATCACAGGAATAAATTGCATTTTAAAATATATTACAATTGTACAATTCCCCAATTGTAAGTCGCTTTGGATAAAAGCGTCTGCAAAATGACAACGTAAATGTAATCGTGTTAAATTGTAATAAGATTTCACAGTATTACTTGTTTTTACTGTATTTTTGATTAAATAAATGCATCCTTGGTGAGCATAAGAGACGTCTTTCAAAAACATTCAAAAATATTACCAACCCCAAACTTTTGAACGGTAGTGTATATCTGTTAAAAGTGAATTTTGTCATGTTTAGGAGCTAAAACACAGAGTCTAATCTCAAACCTTTTTATGAACTTTTCAGATAAAAGAAGATGCTTCTCACCAGCTTGCATGTACTTCTCTAACTGTTCTCTCCTCTGATCGACTTCAGCCGGTGTGAGGGTGAAGATCTTCTTTGGTGGAAAAGCTGGCACCACATTATTTCCATATTCTTTTTTTATCTGAAAGGACACAGGGAGAGAAGTTCATTTTAAATTGATGAGGTCAAATTCTGAAAACAGAATGTTTGGTTATTCTGAGAGGACAAAATTAAACTGACCACTGCCTGCCCTTGACCGCTGTGCACTGCTCTGTCGTACATGCTGACTGCTGGCCTCACAAGCACCAAGCTAATAAATCTGTTTACACTTCACAGCATCTACCAAAATTATGCCTGCTGTTGCTCCATCTGTGTTATTGGGGTTTTATTCAACGGCACAATAAGAAAATTACATGGACACATATATCAGTGTTGATATTGTTAACTAAAAATCTTTTCGAAGCTGAAATCAGATAAAATATAAATATCATTTGAAAAATTTAAAGGGTTAGTTCACCCAAAAATGAAAATTAGGCTGCGTTTTACTCACCCCTTGCTAGGTGTATATGACTTTCTTCTTTCAGACGAATCCAGTCGGAGTTATATAAAAAATTGTCTTTGATCTTTCAAGCTGTTTAATGCCACTCAGCGGGTGTTGCATTGCTTCAGTCCAAAATAACTTAAAGGGGTGGTTCATTGCGATTTCACTTTTTTAACGTTAGTTAGTGTGTAATGTTGCTGTTTGAGCATAAACAATATCTGCAAAGGTATGAAGCTGAGCGTTTTTGTAAGAAAAATATCCATATTCAAAACGTAATAATCACTTTAATGTAGCTTGCGCCAACAGTTGTACACAGTATGGATATTTTTCTTACAAAAACGCATCGATTCGCTACAGAAGGCCTTTGTTCATCCCCCGAAGCCGTGTGAGACACTTTTTTTAATGGATGGGCGCTATTTATTTAACTTGTTTTGGACTGAAGCATGCAACACCCGCTGAGTGGCATGAAACAGCTTGAAAGATCGAAGACAATTTTTAATATAACTCCGACTGGATTCGTCTGAAAGAAGAAAGTCATATACACCTAGGATGCCTCGGGGGTGAGTAAAACGCAGCCTAATTTTCATTTTTGGGTGAACTAACCCTTTAAACTTACATGAAAAATAGAAATGTTGAATAAATAAATAAAGTTGAAGCACTAAAATTAAAACTGAAGTAGAAAATAAAGCAAAATAGAGATATAAAAAAATGTAATTATTAAAAAGACAACTTAAAATATACAAATAAAAGTTCATTCAAAATATGAATTTTTTTTTTTTTTAATAAAATTATAATAATTTGAAGGCCCATTTTAAGGGTTAACTGCAAGCCTCACACCATGACAGCATCTACGCATTGCATCATATGACCACGTATGATCTGACTAGGCCCTCAACGCCCAGTTACCTAGCAACAGTGGCTGCGAAACAACACAACATGCTCTTAATGGTGAGATCACTGAAGTTCTCTCTCATTCATGAGGAAACTTAGTGTCTGTGAAATTGGTAGGTGTTAGATAGGTAATAACCAGATCCTTTTATGTCACTTTCAGTGGATGACCACTCAAACTACTGGTGAATGTGATCACAGCTTCACCACTTCACTATTCAGACAAGAAGTACATTTGTGTTTCACCGGTGCACTTTGTGATTTTAATCCTGTCCAAATTAAACATGTGTTTTTCTTCTAACAACTTTAGAGAATATTATGAAGCAAATTACAGATGTTTTTTGGCTAACTGCAGAGTGGCTAAAAACTACTGTGCTTTGTAACAAACAGCTTTTCATGTGCCAGTATTCCAAGGCAATCCTTGACGCATTTTAAAAATATGAGTGCAATACTGATTTCTGAAATTAAGGTCATGATGAAAATGAGTGTTCACCTGTTCATGGAGGCCTAGGAGTTGGCTGTAACGTACTCGACAATGCAAGACACCATTCACATGGATATTGTAAGCCTGCAGAAGGAAGAAAACAGTTTGTTAGTCTTTATAAAACAAAAATAAACACTCAATAGTTTGGAGTTAGTAAGATTTTTTTGAATGTTTTTTAAATAAGTCTTCTATATTCAAGGCTGCAACTGCAATATTGTGCTCTGCTACCTACTGACAGAGGTAGGATGAAACTGCCATGCCTTTACTTGTCGTCAAATATAAAAAAGGAAGAATGAGTACGCAAGTCTTCAGGAAACACAATAGTTTTTTGCCCTTGTGTTTGAACAGGAAGTCTGCCATTTAAATCGCAGCCCCCTCTCATTTTTGTGGCTCTTCTGCAAAGTATGCATATTTGGTGACATGAACAGCTCCACTGCAAATATGCAACTCCCTCTCAAATATAGAGCAAGACAACATCACGCTCTCTGACTAAATCTACCTCCGATTGTGAATGAATGCAAGAGAGAAACGAAGCAGGTTTTAAAATCCGTTTTAGTTGACTTTAGAAAATTCAGGTAGATTAGCATCAGTGTTGTTTTTGTTTACTTAAAAACTATTACAAATATCTGTATATTGTAATACAATTAAATATAATATTACATGAAAAACTTGCCTTGGCAACTAAATAATTAAATAATTAATGTATACACTACCAGTCAAAAGTTTGGGATTTTTAAAAATGTTTTTGAATGTCTCTTCTACTCACCAAGGCTGTGTTTATTTAAACAAAAATACCGTACAATTAGTGAAATATTATTACAATTTAAAATGACTTTTTTTATTTGAATATATTGTAAAATATAATTTATTTATGTGATGCAATGCTGAATTTTTTGCATTATTACTCCAATCTTCAGTTTCATGTTTTTGTCAAAACTGTGATACTTTTAATTTTTCAGGATCATTTGATGAATAGAAAGTTCAAAAGAACAGCATTTATTTGAAATAGAAATCCTGTAACATTATACATGTCTTTACTGTCCCTTTTGATCAATTTAATGCATCCTTGATAAATAAAATTACTAATTTATTTATTTATTTCTTACTCCAAACTTTTAAAGGGTAGTGCATCATTGCTTCCGCAAAAATATGAAGCAGTTTTATGAATATGAAGCAAGTGGTTTTCAACATTAATAATAATCAGAAATGTTTCTTAATCAGAAAATCAACATATTAGAATGATTTCTGAGTTATTTTAAATTGTAATAATATTTCATAATATTTACTGTATTTTTGATCAATTAAATCCAGCCTTGCTGAGCAGAAGAGACATTCAAAAACAAAACATCTTACAGATCCCCCTCTTGACCAGTAACAGGGTGAACTAGTTTATGCAAAACCTGTTTAAATTATGCAAAACAACAAATATCTTGTCATCAAAGAAAAAGAAACAAAAATGTAAAAGCAGTAAAAAGTGAGTGTGATTCATACATCTGACCAATTTATATCTCAGTGGCCTTGAAAGACTTAGCTATTGAGAACGTCACTGACGATCTGTGATGGAGAAATTCTCTCTGAATCACAGTCAAAGATGGACACAAACAATGTCTGCAGTCAATCTGTTAGGAATGATACACAATATCTTCACATCGGTGCATTAAAACCTTTGCGGGCCTACTGGAGGTGTTTTAAGAGTGCTGAGAGCATCCATGTGCAGTGGAGCTCAAAAATGATCTCAGCCCCTTATTCAAATCATTTGTTGGCTAAGGAGAGTCGACAGCACAGGCTGCACATCTGCATTACATCTGCAAACACCTACGAGAAAGAATTCAGGCAAAATATGCTTTGTAATCAATCCACAGTTCAGTGCGATACAGACAAAAACTCAGGAGCCGAAACTGAAGCTGTCTGTTATTGATAGGCTCTACTTGCGGTTTCATAGAAAAATGAAGTGTCATGTCTTCAGAGTATTGAGCCAGCTACGTTTCCAGTTACGCTAGATAACTGTTATGCTGAAAGAAATGGCAATCTTGCACTGCGTATGGCTGAGGGAGAGATGCCAGGAGAACTGAGACATTGTGAATCCAATTCACACAACAACTCTCAAAGATGCTAGCTAGAGTGTTTCTAAACAACCATTAACAAAGCTTCCTGATTCCACCTTCAATAATTTTGTGCCTGCCTTTTTGTTATTCAATAAATAACTTATGAATGTTGTGTCAGCTAAAATATATATTTTTCTTCTATATATTTAATGAGTAGAGGTCAGAATAAGTATGCTTTCATTTTTACAAAAATACATCTATTAAATCTTGCAATTTTAAGACTAAAATTATTTTTTAAAACACTTAAAATGAAAGTTTTACAGTTACAAATCACATCATACTACATTTTTTAATATTAACTATAATCTTACAACAGATATGTGAATATTCATCTCTACATGATATCATTTGGTTTTCCTTTTTTGAATCCGTTCACTAAAAAGATTTGTTCAGCTTCCTTCACTGAATCTTTATCCATATCAAGCCAGTATGTGGTGGTTAAGGCTAGATGGCACGATACAGCAAAAACTACTGGGTATGCGCACATCGATATAGCATAATTTTTCTCACACTGTACAACAACAATTACTATTTTTGCATGATTGTAAGGGGTAGGTTTAGGGTTGGGGTATGTGTAGATGTTAATAAAACACAATCTAATAGGTAGAAAATTCTATTTATTGTTAGCTTCCTGTTTTTGCTGTATCCCTTCTAGCCACAACCATATGTGGTGGCATATGTAATGAGTGAATCATTGAATCACTCACTCAACCAATTACCCTGATAACACATGTACATCACAGAGACGTCTATTTGACATCTGCATTTACATCTGCAAGATGTATTTTTTTTTAGAGTGTTTGCTCATCTGCTGTCTATAGGACGTTTCCTGTCAGAAGTTAAATAGACATCTATAAAATGTCTTTAAGATGTTTATGATTTAGAATGCATGTAAAACTGACATCTTAAAGACGTTTATCAGATGTGTGTACACAGCAGATGCTTTCCAGATGAAGCGATCTTTTTAACAGACATCTTGCAGACGCATGTGTGCTATCTGGGTACCGAGTATTTCAAAATTGAAAATGAGTCTTGTTATCCTTTATTCAAATATTAAAAACTAGAATTTCTAAAAACTACCAAGAGACTCAAGAAAAAGAGCGTTTAAGCATTATGAGCATTTTCACCTCAAATGAAAACAAAGTAGGCCTACATGTACAATTTTGCTCCATTCTGTCAACTTGGAAGGACTTGAAAAATGACAATAGCTAACAGCCTAAATGAACTAAGAAATTATGTCCATATATCATGTTAATTTTAGTTATCAGTCATTTTAACAACTCTTCTGCCTCTTTCTCTTCTTGTTGCGAACGAGACTGACTCGTATGATGATCTGAATGAACGGACATGTTCCCTCAGTCAGAGAAAGATCCGTACGCAAAGATTCGTTCACAACAACGATTCAAAGCACCACTATTCTACAGCGTCACCAAATGTAAACGCTAGGCGCGTCGCTTATTTGACCTCCACTACACTTACCACATATGTCGATCCATTTTCATTGGAACGGACCTCCGTCTCGGGGATGGAGAAATGCATTTTCTACTCAAAGATTACAAGTCTTTGACCAAGTTGAAAATGCTGTTAAAAGCGAGAGTGTTCACGGAAAGCCCTCGGTGTTGGTCTGCTGTCATGCAGAGACCAAACTGAATGACGGCGAGCTACACTCGCTCCGATTCACTGTGTAGTCCTATCCAGTCCAGTCCAATCCAGAGCTGAATTAAGCCAGAAAAGTTATCTTTTGCGACGTGGATTATTATAAAACTTTCTTAATGTTCAGGGCTGAACTTTTCCAATAAACATCTAAGCAGCAGCCATGTTGCAACTGGAGGTATTTCCACGTTCATTGTCGGCTATGTATCACCAAAGCTGTCCTCTCACTTCCTCACGCACTAGAAGAGAATGTGGGGATCGAGTCTGCAAAACACACAAGGGTCGTCGCAAGGCCCACGATCCCATTAACTTTCAGATTACTCCACGTAAAGGTGCTCCGCGGTTGTCTACAGCCCCCGTTTCTACATACATTGGTACATACGAACGAGTACGGAGAGGAAACAAATGAAGAAACTGTTTGTCGCAGCAGGCATTTCGAGATAGCGATACTGTGCTCCAACTTGTAAGGGCGTTAAGAAGAACGCACATCAGTCTGCATTATAGCGAAACCTTCCAACACTATAAACGAAGCCGCTCTGCTGTAATGTATTCAATATGTATGTATCTGCTCTCTCCCGAAGCATTGCAACAGTCTGGATCAAACCATTCTTCTAGTGCGGGGGGAGTATTGCGTAAAAATGTTCATTCGAGGTCGGGCATGAACAAGTTGCCAGCGTAGTTTGTAGTAAACAATCTCTCCATAACGACGTAAACTTATGGTTAATTATGAATGCAAGTGTTTAAACTTAATATTAGGGTTAACATCGAAATGGACTCAAAAATCAGATTGCAAATCAGGAGGTTAAACTGTATCAAAGAGTATTTAAATATGAGCTAAATCATAGTTCTCAAGACAGCTTGTGATTTGAGGTATTTAAGGCGCTTTTTTTCTCTCTCAGAAAAATGGTCACTGAAAGGATCAAGGCGCTTAACTTTCAGCAAATGATTACTTAAGGAGGTCAAACTTTTTATATATTTTTTCAATACTTTTTTTGTTACCCTGTTATGTATAATACGTTTTGCAACTTCATAGCAATAAACACTACACAAAAAAAAATTAAAGAACAAAAGTAATAAAATGTATTAATTAAAAAGCACCAAAATGGGTAATAGAGTTGCCTAAATTAATAGGGCACCATAGTAGTTTTTTTGTTAGTCATGTTGTTTTGTAGTTATGGATAAACTTCCCATAAATTAAATACAAATATTTATTTGATTATTTTTACTCACAGTAACTTTGGTAGCTTAACAGCTGTATGTTTAAGCTTGACAAATGCACTCAACACTAATTTGTCTAAAATTGACAGGGAATGAGATTCTGTTTCTTTCACAATTTTATAGAATCTTACCTCTGAGCTGGGGCAGTCCAAAA